AATGGGAATTAAATTGGAAGAGAATGGGAATTAAATCGGAAGGGAATGGGAATGAAGTGGGAAGGGAATGGGAATATAATGGGAAGAGAATGAGAATGAAATGGGAAAGAAACGGGAATGAAATAGGAAAGAAATGGGAAGAGAATGGGAATGAAATGGGAAGAGAATGGGAAAGAAATGGGAAGAGAATGCGAATGGAATGGCAATGAAATGAGAAATAAATGGGAAAGAAATGGCAATGTAATGAGAAGGAAATGGGAATGGAATGGAATATGAATAGAAGTGGAATAGTATAGGAGTAGTCTGAAATAGGTATAGAATAGCATAGGTTTAGGAGCTCAGTCGAATTGGAATTCTTTTGGAATGGAATGGCAATCCAATGGGAATGGAATGGAGTAGAATATGTATAGAGTACAATTCTCTCAATCAGAAAGCAAACTCTAAAGCAGTTTGTTGCACTTCAGTGATCATGTGATATAGACCCCAGTAGATGGTGCAGAATAATAAATAATTGTGAGAAATCTCATCATACTGATTCCCTCCGCCTGTTGGTGATGATTTACTGTGTCTGCACTTGGCCTCCAAGCCTTTTCCATTTGTTTTTTAGAAAAAGCTTTCACCTGCTGAAGAAAAATTCCAAGTTGCTGCGAGAGCTGAAAAATCTGGATTCCCGCCAGTGGTAGGTGACGTGTGCTGAGCACACCTTTGGCCAGGTTCGTGTTCCCCGAGGAGGAACGGGCCCCCAGAACCAGAACCTCAGTCCTGGTCAACCCAGATATTGGAGTGGAAATGGGGCTGCTGGTTTCTCCAGTGTTTCTGTGGCCTGAATGGAGAGGCCACTTGTGCTGGCACAGAGAATTCCCAATCGGTGGCAAACAATAAGAGAGAATTTATTTTCAAGTTTGCTTTAGCTGAGAGGGGAGGAAATATAAAATATACAATATACAAAGCAGGATTTTCTGGAGGGTGACCCCTGTGTCAGGAGCTGTGCTTGGAGGGGTCACCTGCCCAGAGCTGCTGGAACAGAGTTGTGAATATTCTGTTTTATTTTTCATTACTTGGCACGGAGCTGTCTGCAGAACATCTGCAGCATTTCAGAGTTCTGAGGTTTTTTCTCTCCCAGCAATTCCCCCATCGAATGCTCTTTGCACGATTTCAGAGAAGCCAGCTCTCCCTGTGAGCCTTGGAAAACTCTGCCCAGGGTCTGAAGGTCGATAATGCTTCCCCTGCCTTGTATGTCATCACCCTGGAATTAAAATTCCCGAGGTCCAGCGGTGCTGCCATTAACACCTGTGCCACCTCGCTGCCCAGATCCGAGTCATTAACCCTGTAATGGGAATTTGGTGCCCAGGTCTGTGCCTGATGCCCGGGAGAGGACCAGGCTTGGCTCTGCTCTGGGAGCAGGGGAGCTTTTGGTGGTGAAAAATCGGGGGGGGAAATCTGAAAGCGTGCATGAAAGAAACGGGCATACAGAGCTCAATGTGGGCACGCAGTTAAATATTTTCATTTTTTTATCTTTAATTTTTTTATCTTTTTTTTTTTTCTTTTTCCCTCCCCTGGCAGCCGTGAGACTCACAAGATCGCCGTGTTCTACATTGCCGAGGGGCAGGAGGACAAGTGCTCCATCCTGGCCAACGCCAGGGGCAGCCAGGCCTACGAGGATTTCGTGGCTGGCCTGGGCTGGGAGGTAACAGCCACGATGTGGACAAGCTGCCTTGTTGCTGGTGGCACTGCACAGTTTTTAATTCAACCAAAAAAAAAAAAAATTTAAAAAAAAAAATCGCTGCTGCTTTCAGCTCTTGCCGTGCTCAGAGCACACGCTCAGCACAGGAGCTCTGTGTGACACGTGTGGGTTTAATTTGCTGTGTCCCATTTGGTGTTTGGGAAATCCAGGCTAGCTGCACATGCACGTTTTGAAGGATCCAGGTGCCACAGGGGGATGCAGCATCCCCGGGCTGGTGCTGGTGGGAAAACAACCCAGCCTTGGGATTCAGGCTTGACTTCACAGAGGTGTTCCTTGTGAATGGACTCCTGGAATAATTTCCTCGAAGCGTCTTCATTCCGTTTCTTCTGCAGTTTTTCTGGTTCTTTTCCTCTCTGCCTGTTGTGGTGCTCCTGGCAGCGGGAGCTCTGAGCCCCACAGAGCCCTTGGCCAGCAGCGTGTGGCAGAGAGGAGAAGATTCCAGGAAAAGTGCAGTTGTTTCCTTGCTGCTGGAGGGAGGTGAAATAGCTGGGTGGGTGACGACTCGGAGAGATTTAGTAAATGTCGGACACAGGCACGGGAAATAGAAATCTAACGGGGAGATGGCCGAGCTGTAGGGTGAGGTTTCTCTCCTCCGGGCTGGCTTTGGGGAAGCTGGGGTGGCGATTTCACGGCTCTCTCCAGCGAGAGGCGGGTGTCTCCGAGTGCTCATCCTCCCTCAGGTGGACCTGTCCACGCACGGCGGCTTCATGGGCGGGCTGCAGCGCAACGGCAGCACGGGGCTCACGGCGCCCTACTACGCCACCTCCAGCGTGGAGATCATCTTCCACGTGTCCACCAGGATGCCCTCCGACTCGGACGACTCCCTGACCAAGAAGGTACAGCCTCTCTGCGGGCTCTGCCCCTGGAAGCCGCGCCGCTGGGTTGGGCTGAATTAAACGGCGTCTAAACCCCGCGTTCTGAAACGCGGTTGACATTTCCGTGGTGGCCTCAAATGCCACCGGGAATAATAACATTAGCGGTGATTCCATTTGGGCGTTGTCTGCCTGCCGAAGCTGCTGCAGGTTGGTAGAACAAAGGCACCGAACGTGGCGTCGTGAGCCCTTCCAGCCGGCTCATCCCGAGTGGAGCAGCCAGGGGCAAGTGGCTGAAGGGTTCAGTAGCCACGGAGGCACAGCCCTGCCAGCAGCCCGTGCTGCAGCCAGCCACAGCCCGGCCCAAATTCTGTCAGCACCGCTGCTTCATGGCTTAGTCTTGCCTAGCGAGGACAGGTTTCAGTTTGTGCTGTTTGCCAGCTGCTGCTCAGGCTCAGAGAGGATTTTTGGCGCAGATCTCTGCCTTGTGCATTAGGACTTTCCTGCAGCAGCAGTGTTGCAGCAGCAGCAGTGCAGCGCCCTGCTCTGAGCACTGTCACTGTGGGCGCTGTCCTGGTGGTCCCACAGTGATGCCAGTGCTCGTCTGTAAAATGTAAAGGTGGCATCTCTGAGTGCTGCTTCTGAAAAACTGCCCAGCCTTCCCTACTAAAGTCAGATCTTGTCTTTCTTACTGTGATACCTGTCTTTCCAAAAAAAAAAAAAAAAAAGACAAGCCAGCGAAACGACACGTTTCTCTTTCTGTGTGTAACTCACTACCCTCATGGACAGAAGGCTGCTGAACAAAGTGCTCTGAGTGCTTCACGATGGGGCAGTGGTGTGTCTCTGTGACCAGAGCAGGGTAGTTCTGTCTGAATTTTTATTTTTATTGTTCCTGGCCAGTGTTTGTCTGCTGCCATGGCTTCTCCTGCACAAACGGTGGCCGTTTATTTAGTCTGACCTCCCCTTGTAAGTCCTGGCTTTTGTGGAAGCCTGGCAGAGACCCTGGGATAGGGTCTGGCTGTGGGGTAATTCATCAGGAGAGGGGAGAGCACAGTGGGGCTGAGCTGGCCCAAGGGGAAAAATGGGGTCTAGCTGCAAGGAATCCACTTGTTCTCCCAATTTTCATCAGTGTTGGGGCTTGTCAGGGTCTAATGATTCCATTTGTCTTCCCTGTGCTTGCTCTAAGAGAATTCCTTCTCGGTGAGAAACAGAAACCAAAAGCATTTAGGAGCTGTCAGTCCCCAAGTCGTGCAGTGCCAGGAAAGCAGGCCAGCTCCAGCACGTGCTGTCTGCAGAAAAATAACTGCAAAGGAATTGCTCTGGGACCTTCTCGAGAGACCTGAGGTCTGCTCTGCGAGTGGAGCCCTGATCCCACTGGGAATTCCAGCGAAGGGCACATCTCTGAGCAAGCTCCTGGGCCCGAGGGGCTGGGGGCAGGTGACTCTCAGAGGGTTTTTCAGAGTGTACTCGCCCATGGTTGCACACACAGCAGTGCCATGCGGCTTGTCACAGCTCTGCTGCGGGCAAACAGGCGGCTCTGTGCCTGGGCTGGTGGCAGATGTGACAGAGCTGCAGCTGTGAGTGGAGGGAAGCTGCATTTCCTGCACTTTCTGGGAGGTGGGCAGCAGCTCCCTGGGCTTGGCTCCTCGCCTCACATCGCGGGGTAAAAAGGTTTATTTCCTGTTTGTTACTTCTTTCCATCAGTGCTTTTGTTGGGTGGGAATGTGGCAGAGAAAGAGGGAAGCCCGGGGCGTCCTGCAGCAGGGCAGTGGTGCCGGCAGGAGAAAACCTCATCAGGATGCGGTGGGGGCCACAGCTTCTCTTTTCCTGCCCTCCCTCTGGGCCCTGAGGTGCTGCTGCTAATCTCTGTGATGGCTGGGGTTTCCTCTCGGCTTGTTCTGCCTCGGAGCAGGAGAGGCTTCACCCCTGTCAGCGGGCTCCCGGCTGAACAGAAGGACTGGCCACCTGCTGGCCCGGCCAGAAATTCCGGGGGCTGGCGAATTCAGCAGATGCGGGGATTTCACTGAAATTTGTTATTGTGGTTCTTGGCTTCTGCTGAACGCAGGGATAAATTCAGTTCTGCTCCGAATTCCCCAGAATAAGAGCGTTTCCTCTGGCATGAACTTGGCCCCTCGTTGTTGTGCAGTCGAGCTGTCGTTTGCAGTCTGCGTTTTTTTTTTTTATTTGAGGCGTGTGCTGCCATTACATTGCTGATTCGGGAGGGGAGAAAGGGAAAGAGAAAGAGAAACGCCTCTCCAAATAAGTCTCGGCCCTGACAGGAATCTGTTCTGGTGGAGTAAACAAAATTCAGCGGGTCTCTTTTGCTGCCGTAGGGTTCAGCATCATTGGTTCCAAACTTTCTCTGCCTGTCTTGTGGCAGGAGTGAAAATGGATCCCAGGAGTGGCATCCTGCCGTCCCTGTCTTGTTCTGCTCGAATTGTGCCTCACAGTTTAAAGACGTGCTGCCGAATTTCTCGGTGATTTATTCCATCCTCTCCGTCGTCAGGGCAGAACTTTTTCAATTCAGCAGTCTGGTTGCAACCCCATACTGAACTCTTGCTCCTCTGCTGCAGAAATTTGTTAGCCGGGGCTAGATTAGATTTTTAGCAGCTAATCTGACTGCTGTAGGGGTTTGCAGAGTGGGGACAGAGCCGTGCTATTGGATTTGTCCAATTCATTTGACTCCAGGACTATAATTGCACTTATGTCTTACAAGGCTTTTATGGCCTCGGGCTGGCGAGCAGCAGAAAAACAAATTGGCAGTGATACAGTGAGAGTGAAAGGGAATGAAAGGCACACATTATCAGTCTCCAGGCAGCCCTGCTCTGGCAGGAAGTTTCTGGGTTAATTTACAAATAAAACTTCGATTTTCGGACGGGCACACAGTCAGGCAGACAATGGGGATGTCAGGGCTCGCTGTTACTTAGCAAAAGTAGCAGCCGTGGCTCCCCAAAAGCAGGAATTCTTCAGTGCAGCAGACGAGTCGTCTCTGGAGCCAGCTGGCTGTGTAATGCAATTAGCAGGGAAAGGAGGTCATGGCAGAGGTGTGCACCGTGACCAGAGTGAGCCAGCCCCGCCTGCCTGCGCACACGGCATGGGGGAATGGGGGAATGGGATACGGGGATGGGGGGAATGGGATATGGGGATGGGAATGGGGATACGGGGATGGGGGGATTGGGATATGGGGATGGGGATAGGGGAATGGGGGGGGTGATTGGGGGATGGGGATGGGGGAATGGGGGGATTGGGATACGGGGATGGGGGAATGGGGATGGGGGGAATGCGATATGGGGATGGGGATATGGGCATATGGGGATGGGGGAATGGGATATGGGGGGATTGGGAGATGGGGATGGGGGAATGGGGGAATGGGATATGGGGATGGGGGAATGGGATATGGGGAGATTGGGATATGGGGATATGGGAATGGGGGGATTGGGATGGGGATATGGGAATGGGGATATGGGGATGGGGATATGGGGGTGGGAATGGGGATATGGGGATGGGGATATGGGGATATGGGGATGGGGATATGGGAATGGGGATATGGGGGTGGGAATGGGGATATGGGGATGGGGATATGGNTGGGAATGGGGATATGGGGATGGGGGGATATGGGGATGGGGATATGGAATGGGAATATGGGAATGGGGATATGGGGATGGGGATATGGGGATATGGGAATGGGTGTCAGCCCTGCCTGCTGTCCCGGCACCCAGAGAGGGGATGTGGGGATTGGGATATGAGGACGGAGATGTGGGGAGATGGGAATGGGGATGTGGGGATGGTAATGGGGACATGGGGATATCAGGATGGGGCTGGGGCTGGCGAGTGCAGCCCCAGGGAGGCACAGCAGGGCTGGGCTGTGTCCCTGCATCCCGTACCAGACCAGGACCAATCCCCGTGCCCACCAAGAATTCCTGCACGCCAGGGAGGACATGCTGCCATTCCCAGAGCTGCCTTCCCTCAGTGTGCACAGCCGTGGCTTTTAGAACCAGTCTGATTTCATGGCCGATTCGGTGGTTTTTTAACACTTTCTCTTTTTTCTCTTTATTCCCCCACCCCTGCACTGGGGGCAGAGCACAGCCTGGAGCTCTGGCCCCGCACACGTCGGCCGTGGGGCTTTGGGCATTTCAGCACAACTTGCTGAGGTCCTGCAGGGCACTGAGTCTGCCCCACAGCTGCTGTTTGGGACAAACAACACAGGAAAATGGCAGCTGGCTTATTGTCACTGATGAGATTATTGTAACGGCTTTTTATCAATGGAGTTACCTCTCAATGGCAGAATTTCCGATTAATGCCAATTTTTAGTTTCTACCATTACACCTCGTAACTGTGCTGCCTGAGGATGTGTGGCTTCAAAGCCAGGGCAGTGTCTGGAGCTCTGAACCAAGTCCCTGGCACACCCTGGGCATCGTGGCAGACTCGTGAGCACAGCAAGTGTTGGTCCAGCCAAGTTCCCTTCTTCTCTAAATTGTGTTCTGGAAGGTGCAATAATATCAGTATTATCATTATTCGTTGTACAAGTGCTTGGCTGTTATCAGAACAGTTCCTTGGGATTTTAAAACGGGTCCCTCAGGCAGTGTTTGGCCATATTTTGATGACTGTTTTTCTAGCACTATGTGCTGTTTCTCACCCCAGAAGGCACAGGAGGCACAGCAGAGCCTTTTCTTCAGCAGAGCTGAGCTGGCTTTGCGACTTGCCCTCTGCACCCGGGCCTGATGGAATTCCATGTCCACACGGATTCCTCGGGTTTCCTGCAGCAGAGGTCGCTGGGTGGGCTCTCTGTGCTGGAGGCCAGTGCCAGAGCTGCCAAATGTGGGGCCGAGCTGGGCCCATCCTGGGTGGGCCAGGCTGGGACTAAAGGTGACATCTCGCTCCTCGTCGCTCTGGGGGGTGACCTGGCGGCACCTGGGCACGGAGGGTGAGGTCAGGGTTTTGTCCTGGGTGTAAATTCCTGCTGCCTTGGGTACGTGCCAGCTCGTGGCGTTGCCAGGGTGTTTTCTTGTGCGTTGCTTTGTTTTTACCGGGCTTCTGCACAGGCATCAGGGCCACCACAAGATCGGCAGTTTCTGCCTTATTTCTGCACGTGAGAAGCTCTAGTAACAGAATGGTTGTGTTCCGTGAGCCACGGTCACGGCTGTAACTTTTTTGGATTTTTTTCCCCCCCTCAGCGTGTTGGCTTTGTCGCGTTTCTCTGGTGAACTGAGGGGTCCTGTTTGCCACAAACACGTGGGGAGTGAAAGTTTTTCCTTCTAGGGGCACTGCCTGGTTCCGAATAGGGGAGTTTCATCAGCGCACTGTGGGCCGATCCCGGGCGTGCTGGGCTTAGTTGTTATTATTTCCCGGTGAAAATCGCCACCTCCTTTTCCCTTTTCTCTCTCCCCCCACACAGGCTGAAGCAGCAGAGCTTCGTTTTGGCTTCTTTGTTCGGTCTATTGTGCACATTGTTCCGGGGGTAGCACCCGAATTGGAGGGTGGGGGTTGTCTTTTAAGCTTTAAGTGGGACTTAAATTCTCTTTATGCTCGGAGCTGGCATTGTGCTGCGTGGATTACATTTTAACTTTAAAGCTTACAGTTGAAACCATTGTGCGAGGCTTGTACGTGATTGCCAAATAGTTTTTGCCATCTGTTAGATCACCTCCAGCTCCTCCAGCGGCAGAGCAAACTCACTCACACGCACACCCGGGCTCTCGGATGCTTTCCGCGCGTGTCCCGTTTAAATTTTGCCTGTGTTTGGTGCAGCTCCGCTCCAGATGAGCAGTGGAAGTCCCGCAGTATTTTCCCGTTCCGCTGCGCCTCACGCTGCCCAGATATTTCTGCCGACGCTTCAGGCAGGAGCCCCCTCCAGACGCAGGCAGCGAGGAGGTGTTTGTGGATAATAAATTGGGTCACGGTGGGTCGTGACAGGCAGCTCCCTGACGTTCTGAGTCGAGGCATTTCATATTTCTGTGACAGCTGCCGCGTCGGAGCAGGAACACGATGATGCTCCCTTGGTTAATGCCTTGTTCCAGTAATTCGGTTTTCCCCCTTAAATCACTGTAGGTAATGTACATTTACATACGATGCTAATGGCTAGTTTGATAATGACTTAATTAAGCCATCAGACAACAATGAGTTCTAAATGAAGCAAATTATTGAGCCGACGCTTTCATGAGCAACTGGAGAAAAACAATATTTTAACTTTTCCGTAATGAAATATCCCTGCCGCGGAGCAGCGTAATTGAATCCGCGGGCCGTGACCCCCGGCATTTATTAATCCCCGCCATTAATAAAGAGTAATCACGAGCCCATTTCCCCTGCAGCTCCGGCACTTGGGCAACGACGAGGTGCACGTGGTGTGGTCGGAGCACAGCCGCAACTACCGCCGGGGCATCATCCCCACCGACTTCGGGGACGTGCTCATCGTCATCTACCCCATGAGGAACCGCATGTTCTTCATCGAGATCCTCAAGAAACCCGAGGTGCTGCCCTGCCCCTCGGCGGGCTGCGGGCTGGTTTGTACCCAGCCCGTACGAGATCAGGCTGTCCTCAGTGTCTGTGTGTCTGTCTGTCTGTCTGTGTGTCTGTCCTCCCCAGTCCGTGTGTCCACCTCTGTCCATCTCAGGTGGAGCACGACCTGAGCCATGACTTTACGGCTGGAGTTACTCACGGTGATGGTGCTGGCTGCTCGTTCACTTCAGAGCCATACTCGGCGCTGGGGGAAGCCCCTCAGAGTTCTCAGCACTGTGGTGGCACTGTCATTGTCACCTGCCTGGGGGGGTGGTGCGGGCACGGGGCATCCTGTCGTCAAGCACAGCGTGGGAGGCTCACAGCCGAGACGGTTTTTGGGGGAAAAAAATGCGGTTTTTTTGCAAAATGTCAGAGGTGTGCGTGTGTGCGTGTGCGTGTGAAAAAGCCGCTTCAGTAAATGCTCGTCTGGTACGCTCCGGGTGCAAAAATATGCGTAAAATACACTCGGTGAAAGTGGGCGGTGTGATAAATACCCTGTAAATACCCTTTGCCTTGCGTGAGGGACAGTGTTTGCCCGAAGGAGTGGCCAGCTGTGGTGAATGCCTCTGCCACGTCCCATCCTGAGCTGCTCCGGGGACCGTTTTTGGGGTCGTGAGTGACGGAGCTGTTGGATGTCGGCGGCCGGTGCTTTGTCAGCTGGGCATCTCAAACTCGGAAATTTGCTGCTAGTGGGTCGCTGGGGCTCTTTCCCGCGGGTGCCGAGCTCTGCAGTTGAGTTTTGGAGCGTTTTGGCTTTTAGGGAAAGGAGAATGTAGCGTTAGGAACCCGCTCGAGTGCTCTGTGGAGCGGCGGAGGAAAGCTGTGTCATCTCACATCTTAGTCCCAACCACCCGACGGGCAGCCAGGAGAAGAGCTAACTGGAAATTTGGTGTGATCCCCACATTTAAAGTACAAACCATTACAATGTAATAAAATTAATCCAGACATTTCCAGGGCAAGTGTGGCTGACCTTTTGTTCACCAGCTACTGACCCCGGGGTGAATGAACGAGCCTTGCAGAGAGAAATGTCTGTTGTTTGGCTTCGGTCCCTGGCATTTAAATTGCATTCCCTAATCGAATGAAAAGGCTGTCCTCTCTATCAGGTTACAGAATCCATGGCAACATTTGGCCTTTTATATCCATAATGTTAGCCTTTTTGTTTGCAGCCGAGTAGAGACACCTGGAGCAATGTTAACATTAACCGCTTTAGCATTAATAGCTTCATTATAGAAGAATTTCTGATCAGATAGCTGTTACTTTTGTGATGTTGCTTCAGCTCGTATTGTTTTCGTTTCTGATCTCCCTGCTTGGCAACCGGGCAATGATTTGCAAATTTTTTTTGTCTTGATTAATTAAGCAATATAATTATCGGGAGCCGTGCCGCAGTCTTTGCCCGACAAAGCTCGGGAGGGAAGACAATAGTAAGTCTGTTGGTGTGAATGCATTCCACGCGTCACAGATGCACGAGGATATTGGGAACAATGAGAGGAAAAGCTGCCTGCGAGGGGGGACAAAGCGTGCCAGGCCGGCTCGGCACTGCACATACCGCCAGGGACATGCTGCGGCTTCCCCGGGACACAGATGCCTCGTTAGATTGCGGCTCGTCATCGGAGATTAATTCTCGGCCATTTGGTACAATAATTTACCCGTTCCCCGCTCCTTTAACTAGTGCTGCTCGCCGTGCGGGGGGAGCCTTTGTGCTCGCAAGGTTTATTTAACCTTGCCTACTTCTCCTGCGGCCGGCAGCAATAACGATTTTTGGAGGTCGGGACGAAGCAGGTGCTTGCAGCGGGCTGAATATTCATTTTTTGCTTCGCGGGTAGCTCGCAGCGACGGTCGGGGCGCTGGCAGGAGGGGATCTTTGCCTCTGCGGATGAAGCCGGCTGTGGCTGCGGGGATCCTCCCCAGGGCACCGGGCACGGGAACGCTGTGCTGGCAGAGCCTGCCCCAGCTCCTGCTGCCCCCGAGACCGAGTCAAGTGCTCTAAGCAAAACCTTCCTGCCCAAAAAGCCCGGCGGGCAATTTCCCTGCCCCAGCAGCAGCTGCTGATCTGACTTTACGTCTCTGCTGTCCGTGTGCTGGATTTGACCTCCCTGTCTGTGCTTTTGCCTTCTCCTCTCTTGCTGCCAGTGCTTCTGGCCAGCGCAGGGGATAAAAATTTCGCTTACAAACGGTGCTGCCTAAAGAGGCAGAACGTGGTGTTCCGTAACGTTACCGTTTTGGTGGCACAGATTTTCCTCCGTCCCTTTCCCTTCCAACTGCCTGGATAGCAATGCCAGCAGTAAATTAAAAAAAAAAAAAAAAATTGGAGGCAAAACCGCTATGGAAACATTTTAGACTTTTCTGATTTTTTTGGGGGGGGGTGGGTAATTACTTTAAGTAAAGGAATGACAGAATAAGCGTGTTGCAGAGACAGCTGTCATTTGCAGATGTTACATTAAACCCAAATTTCTTCTGTAATTCATTGCCACTTCTAATTAGAGGAATTCCCTAGATGCAGGGGATTTATATTATTCCCTTTGTCCATTTATTGAATGACTGTCACAGTCACCCACAAGCAGTTGGAGAAGAATAATAGAGGGTATTTATTTATGTGATAAGCCTCTGTACAGATGGAAAAAAATCCATAGCTTAAATATTGATAATTGCTGCTGGCTTCTGTCTAGGGCTTGAGCTGGGGGGTTGTTTTTTTTTTTTCATTTGGAGCCTGTGAGAGGGAGATGAGTTTGAGCACTTGCAAGTACCGAAAGTTACTTATTTAAACAGCAACAATTCCTGGGTCTGGCAGGCCCAGGTCCGTGTGGTGCCTGCAGTTCTGGGCACGGCTCGCCTGTAGAAAGCGTCTCTTGTCCGTGGTGCGGTGTTTGTGTGCAGAGCCTCGGGTCGCCAGAGGATGTCACACGGGGGTTTCTTGTGGGGGTGGCCCTGAAGGAGCAGCCTTTGGGCACCTGTGCCCGTTTGTGCCTGTCCTGACCCTGTGCTCTGCCCCTGAGAGAGCCCCTCTCTGCCATCTCCGGCACCAGCTCGAGGCTTTTTTTTCTCTCCCGTGCAGTCCACGGAAGGAGTTTATAGAGGATTATCCCGAGTAAATACGTCTTTGCAAAGCCTCCTGCCGGTGCTGGAGTCAGCCAGTGAATGGGGGTCTCCTGGTGGGATCCCAGATGGAAACCAGCTCCTAATACCCAGTGCCAAAGGCGTGTGGATTGCAAATCCATCGACGGCCTCGGTTCCTGTGTGTGTGGGTGTGTGTGTGTGTGTGTGTGTGTGTGTGTGTGCTGAGGGCAGTCCCGGGGGGCTCAGCCCCTCACCAGCTCGGGGGGCGGCTGGCACGGTGCTGTCCCCGTGTCCTGCAGCGCTGCTGAAGCCATGCTCTCTGTTTTGGGCTGCCCAGGTGCCGTTTTTCGGTCCCCTCTTCGACGGCGCCATCGTGACGGCGAAGCTGCTGCCCAGCCTGGTGTGCGCCACGTGCATCAACGCCAGCAGAGCCGTCAAGTCCCTCATCCCTCTCTACCAGAGCTTGTATCCTTTTTCCACGGGGCTGGGCTCCCCCTGGCCGCCTTCCCAGCTGGAGCACCGTGCTGCACACAGGTAGGCTGCCACCACCATCCTTCCTGCCCGCTCCGGGGGTTTCTTCGCGTCCCGCTCCGTGTTCTCAGTGGGTCACGCCCGGCCATTCGGGAATTCCGCTGGCACAATGGAATGGTGACATGGCAGGAGTCTCTGCCCCGGGGACAGCTGTCCTGCTGCTGCTGGCCTCGGGCTTAGCACTGGTGCTGGGATCTGTGAGAAGTGGGGACTCATTTCAGCTCCTAACTAATACGAGGTGTGGACTGTGCACGTCAGGCTGGCGGCCAGAGCTCAGCCCGGCTTTTGCCCTGTCCAATTAACTTCGCTTGGACTCGTTACATTAATGAGGCAGGTGGGATTCGTCCTCAGGTACAAATGTTGCAGGTCCCAAACTCCACTTCCATTCCAGGCAGAGCTGTGTTTGGGCTTTTTCAGAACCTGTTTTCCCCCAGTGGCTGGAAGGTAGCTGGAGGATGTGCTTCTCTGGGACAGAAATCGTGACACAGATTGTGCTTCTTTGTGGGTTTTTTTTGTGGTTCTTTGTGGGTTTTTTGTGGTTCTTTGTGGGTTTTTTGTGGTTCTTGGGTGCTGCACAGCCCCACAGTGTTAGCTCTGTTATGCTGGGGTTGTCTCATCATGCATTTCAGGGCTTGTTTTGCTAATTGTGTCACTTAGGACAGACACTCACTGCACTTTTCTTACTCCGGGCAGCGTTTGATTTGAGTGTTTTTCGAATCACATGACTTTGAAAAGAGTTTGTGAAATGTTTTGATCTTTGAAAGAACATTGAGAAATTAGTTTGTGATGCACATTTTTAAAACACGGAATATCCTCAAGGTACCCGTTAGGGTTTTTTTAAAGGCTAAATTTTATCCAGTATACTTTGCAAAAGTCATCAGAAATTAAAAGTATTAAAAAGAAATTAAATAGAGTTGTGTTAATAACTAATTGTTTCCTCACATGCTGGTGGTTTTGCAAACTGTGGCAATGCCTGACAGGTGAGTCAAGGCTCGTTGTGTTTTCTTCTGTTTCTCGAGAGAAATCTAACAAATCCCTGAAACTGTGCTGTGCAGAATTCGGCTCTCTCCGCCTGTTTCTCAGTGTTCAATACTAAAGCAGCAGCGTAGTGAAGGTAGAAACAGCACTTTAAAGAAGGAAGCTGTCCCGGCCAGGACTCCCGTGTTTTGTTGTCGAGCTCCTGCTGTCCAGGGGGGTCTCCCTGAGGTCCGGGGGGTCTCCCTGGGGTGGCAGAGCTGGGCAGGCAGCACAGCTCGGGGAGGAGGCAGCATCTGTCCCCGCGTTCTTCTCCGCCTCTTGCTGCTCCTGCCTTTGCTCCGGTGGCGCCCGTGGTGCCTGAGCTGCCGCCTGTCTGTCTGTCTGTCTGTCTGTCTGATGGACGGAGGTGGATGGGGGAGCTCCTGCAGCGCACAGGGGGGATGTGCTGGGGCAGCAGCAGAGGAAGCTGCCCGTGGTTCATGCTGTGGGCAGTGCGGAGCCCGGGGTGCGCCAGAGCCCGCACTTGGAATGTGAGTGGATGTGGAAAGGTGATCCTTGGGCTTTGGCACACCCCACTCGCAGCCGTGGTGGGGATGAGGGTGCAGGGCAGAGCGAGGCCGGGCTGAGGAGGGTCGGCAGCTTCTCATGGTAAAAAGCGTGATGGTTACAAAAAAAAAAAAAAAAAAAAAAACAAAAAAAACCATCTGTGGTGTTCAGTGGGATTGCTGTGTCCGTGCTGCTGGGGAGCCGGGGCAGGGTGTGAGGTACCTGCAGGGATTCATCCCCGTTTTCTTCATCCCTGCGAGCTGCCGGGGAGCCGGGGCAGCGCCCTGCCAGCAGTGACAGCTGAAGTCACTTGTTGGAAAGTCTGCAAACTCCGGCTACAGCTGCACTTGTCAGGGGCTGTAAGGGAAGTGTAATCAGCCACAGAGATTAATTTGCATCTCAATTAGGAAGGAGTCAGGAGGAAGCTGTAGGGTCTGTTGCTGGAAGGTTGTGGAAGAAATCCCATCAGGCACAAAGGGCTCCCGAGCCGGTGCTCCAGGAGGACAATATCCCAGCCCGGTTTCCATGGGGACCGGAGCCGCGGGAGCATCTCGCTGCCCGCTTGGTCACGATGACACAAATTCCACATTTCTCTCGGAAATCTCTGTGGAACCAGCAAGGTAACTACGGCAGACCGCACCAGGCTTCTTCCTAATCGCTTTTTTTTTTTTTTTTTTTTTTTTTTTTTTTTTTGCGTTCACCTAACGCTTTTGGTTTGAGGGAATTCATTAGAGCAACAGAGTGGTTAAAAAGCAATTAAGCGTGTGTTTCAAGTTCAGTTCGGAGCTGTTGTGGCTGCGGGTTCTTTGTGTCCATGGAAGGCCCAGGGTGGTGCATGCAGAGCTCAGCTGTCTGTGGAACAGCACAGTCCCTGCTGCTGCAGTGCTCCCGAGGCCAGGGATGGCTGGGCAGCAGCTCGTGTTCCAAATTCCCGTTTTTATTCCTCCTTGGTGCCGTGGAGCACTGGGGCTGAGCAGCCCCTGCTGACTGGGACTCTGGCCATGCCTGGCCATGAGGCAGTGTGCTCCAGCAGCCTCTGCAGGCTGCTTTTTCAGGCAGCACCTGACTTTAAACGGGACTGGGACTTAGAGAAATCATAAGTAAGAGGGTGGCTTAAATTTGACAAGATCATATTGAAGCTCGCAGTTGTTGTATTGAAAGGAATATATTTATGCAGGTTTTTGAGTGCATCCTTTGTGTGTGCTGGGGAAAGGAGGGAACAACCTCCCTTGCAAAGAAACCATTACGTGTCATAACTAAGCAAGGGCCTGTTCTGCTTCCAGCAATGCTAAATTTTTCAGAAACTGCTGGGAGTGGGGCTGTAAAAGTGCATCTCCGAGCCCTCTTGCAGCGTGTGTGAAACGAGCTGTGTGCTGGGGAGGATTTCCAGGCTCCCGTGTGGTCTGGAGTGCCGTGGCACTGAGGTGCAGCAGGGCTCCTGTCTGAGGAGAAACCTGGGGAAAGCAGGGTTTGCACGGAGCTGTTGCAGGTGTGACTGGCAGCTGCTGTGTGAGCTGACAGGTTCCTAGCTCAGATGCTGGGCACCCTTCAGGCTTTGTCTGGCAGGTGTCAGGCGCTTGGGTTGGCCCATAATTCTGCCCTGGTCTCCGGGAAGACCTCGGGATCTGGGGACAGCGATGTCTGAGCAAAAAGCTCCTCCTACATTCCCCAGAGAAATGCAGTTCTCACTGCCCGGGCTCTCTTTCCAAATGGAGCCGTTTCTTTTCTGCCTGGATTGAATTGCCTGAGTTTAAATATTGTCTCACTGTTATTTCGAGTGTCTTACTGCTTTGGGTGTCTTTCCTCCACCTGTACTCCCAATCCTTCCTGGCTGGGATGCTAACTGAATTTGGAGAAAATTAGGACAGATATCCCAAAGTGTGTGAAGTGTTACTTCAGCTTTGAGGAGCTCCTTGTAACCTGCCCTGGGCAGGGTGGAAGGGGTCCCGTGTGCCAGCACCAGTGGACTTGTTCCCTGTGTTTTCCCGTGGTTTTTGGTAATCTTTAAATTATATTCTTAGCAATTGAAGCTACTGCAGGTACTTCCTGTGAACGAGTAAATGGGGAGCTCGTTCTTGCTGGGGTTTATTAACACACTGAGGATAATTTTGTCTCTGGACCAGTCTCACTTTTGGGATGGGTTGGTTTGTTTTCATGGGCAGCAGAGGGGTTTTGCTTCTCATTCTGCCTGTGACACCAGGTGTCTGTGCACTGAACAGGCACAGATGAGCACGGTGGGGAGGAGAAGTCCCTGTGTAATCTCTGAGCACTGGATGTCACCATTTCCCAGCTCACGGTTTGCACTCCTTGGTGTGGGCCTGAGGAAAACACAGCCCTGGCCCTGGAGGAGTGATTTGATTTGTGAGTAACTCTCTCACAGTTTTCTCCACTGCAGCTCGGTGGGGTAAAGCCAAAACTCCGTCTAAACACGCAGCAAAGAGAGAGACCCGTGGCTTTAATTCATTGCATCTCGTGCAGATATTGACATACTCGTATATCCTAGATGTGTTAATATCTGCAACCAAATTCTCAATGAAATCCCTTTCCTGGCTTAAGCCAATTTCTGATTAACCTACCGGGGAGTGCCTGATCTGCTTACCTGCTTCATCTGTGCAGGAAAGGTATTTTCTGTGGCGGACTTCACAGTGTGAATGGCTGTCAGATGGGTGTCTGTACCAAGTCATGCGAGGCAAAGCTTTTAGGTGGCATTCCGTGGGATTGTGGGGGCCGCTCCCCAGCTCCCATTCACGGAGCTCCTCATGGAGCTTCATGGAATTCTTCATCTTCATCTTCATCCAGCCCGGGATGGGGGATGCCTCCCAGGAGGACACACAAGCGGGACAGGGCTTTGCTGGTGAGCAGCAAACATCTCCTGCAGAGGTGCCAACACCCGCCCCGAGGCGCTTCATGTTTTCTCCTGGCTTACACAAAGAGCCTCCAAGCTGTGTTTGCTGAGATGTGCTCACTCTTTGCTTCTTGGACAGAAGCAAAATTGGAATATTCGCGTTACAAACAAGTGCTTCATTCCATCTGGTGTGGCGTTCTTGCAAGGGATTCACATTCTGTGTCTTTTCCAAGCAATTTTTGGTGATTTTGCTGTTTCCCCGTGTTAACTTGGAAAGGATGTGCATAGCTAAAGCTCCGTTCTGTCTTTGCTGTGAACTCCCGCTGGCACTCGGGGCTCCCCGGCGTTGTTTTTGTTTGGGTTTTGTCACAAACAGGTCGGTGACGAGCAGAGCAGGCTGGGTTTCTGTGGCTGGGCTGTGAGTGAGGGGTGCTGGCAGGAGAGGGGCCGCTGCTGCTGTTACCTGGAAAGGCTGACCTGGAACAGACACTAGACAGAGCAAAAGGGATCAAATAGGTATTTATTGAAAGGATAAAATAGGAATTTATTGATCAAGGATTCACTT